AACTGATTGCTTACAATATTTTGTTTCGGTGTTTGTATTAGCCGACGGGAAGCGGCGTTGACGGACGTTGCTTACGAGTTACAAACAATACTCAGAGCAATGTTTAAATCATTGTAATGTATGTATATTTTTATTCTGTGAAAATTCAGTGGAGGATTCCGAGGAGGATTCTGGAGGCCGATTAAAACTTATAGATAAGATTTTAGTAAATACCTAATAAGAAAACCTCAAAACCTTGTCGAAATGGAAGGATTTCATAATCTAAATCTGATTCCTTCACTGAATTTTCATTTTCTTGAATTCTCTTTCTTAATGTCTTAATTTTATCTGAATGGATAAGAATTTAATTTCAGACTGTCTAGAACTTTCCACGAAATAATTATTTCTATGTATAAAATAGAATTAATACTTGCACGATATTTGTATGAAACTAATTTATGCTAGGTCCAATCCTGATGAGACGTTATTAAAGAAGCACTTTACATTTTAATAAAATACATTTATTTCAATCACAAAACAATAAAATGTTCTTTAAAATTAATAAAACTGTAATTAAGAGGGTCCGGATAAAAGTCACTCGATTAAATGTCGTATAACAATGACAAAAGGCTCTTAATGTAACCGAGGGCGCTCTCTGTCAGCCCTCCCTATTGATGCACAGATACGGGGGACCCTATCAAAATTTAAATGCGGTCCATTTTAGCTGTTTCGGTCGGCGGAATCGTAATGAAAATATCCTTTACATTTACCTATATTAGATTTTTTATTCGACCCCAACCTCGTATTAGGGCAAACCAATTATTACGTGATCCCATCTTGACATTTCAACTTGTTTCAGAGAGTATAATATTTTCCTTTTCAATATGAAGATTGTGCTTAAAGTGTAGGGTTAGACCGCGTCGCATCAACTCACCAGAGAAATATAGCGCTTTCATAAAATCCGAGGTGTCATTTCCTTTTGAATAGTTCGTTATATCTGCGCGGTGAACGAAGCCGTGTATAAAAGTCTCAGGTTATTACGAGTCGACCGCGATCCTTCCGCGTCATTGTGGAACGGACGTGTAACAAAATGGACGCGAACACTAAATCTCGGCTCTATTGACAAATGACGTAGTTACAATACTGTATCGTTTTCCAGCCCATACCATTCTGTATTTCCTTCCATGTTTTTGATGTCGCATGATCGTAAACTAGTACAGCTTCCTTCCTATTGAGCGTAAGGATTGAATTCTCCTTTGATGTGTACATAGTATTTGCGTCTATAAATACGGCCGTTACATCGACGTTCGTTTACTAGTCTCCCTTTATTGTGATGTTTTTGCGGCTGTGTGCCTTTCGTGAACTTTGTGTCTCTGACAGAAATATTCATGTGAAAACGTTGTAAGCGGGATAATGGTTGATAGTATTATTGTAAACAGAATAAGCAAAAACAACGAGTATTTACTGTTGTGTATTCTAGCGTGAGATGTATCCGAGCCAGTTTTGTTCCTCTTTCCTGGAAATGTGTTGTTTATTATAATGGAGTGCCTACATAAAGTAGTTATTGGGTTTTCGGATTGTGAAGTTCTCTGAAACGCTTTTAAGTCTAAAATAGTGCCTTGTTCTGTATTAGGCCCAAACTTTACTACAGTCACATTGAAAATAATAGGCAGAAAGGACAAGAGTGATGAATTCAATGTGTATAGATGACGGGGGCTATGACGACTACAGAAAAGATGAATCAATTGCGCCGGGGGATGATATGAAAAAAAGGGAGTCTTACAGGGGGAGATGAAAAAATAAGACATGCTCCGACCTCAAGTAATTTGAGGTATTAGAAAATTTTGTAAGAGTACATAACATCTTTAACGAATAATACATACCGAGTTACGTTACATTTTTGTTAATTTAAATGCTAAATTGATCAAAATTCAAATGAAAAAGTAACAATATGTTAGTATATTATTTCTTTAACGTTATTATTTCCAGTACAAATATACAGAGTTAATATTGTACTTGTCTCAACGAATTTGTAAACATAAAAGCGTAAATAGTTTGGTTTATATTCAGGGCGGACTCCGGTACGTGTTAGGAATGTCAAACAAATGTTTGGGTGGAACAAATAATGCTTGTAATTAATACAATTTCAAATTAAAAGATTAAAATGTAAAGCTTAATATTGTTATAACAATGTTCCCTTGATAGACATACATTTTATTAGTAGTTAATGTTGTGAAGATAAAATAATAATATACCTTCAGATTCCGTTAGCAATATTGGTGATAGATTATAGATAGATTGAATTTTTCAACATCTATTAGACACTAGCTGTTGCCCACAACTTCGTCCGCGTAGAATATTAATTTTAGAACATAACTTTATTTTAAACTGTCAAACACCAAGCGGTCACCGGTGACCGCAACCTATTATTCTATAATTGTGTCTACAAAACCGGTACTCGACGAGTTAATTTCAATTTTGCAAAATCGGTCCAGCCATTCCAGAGATTAGCCAGCAGACAGATAGATCGACAGACAGACTGACTGACAAAAATTGTAAAAAATGTTATTTTGGTATGTGTATCGTATGTATATTCATAATAATATGCATGCAGTAAAAAACGGTTATTTGCATATTACAAACAGACACTCCAATTTTAATTATCTATATAGATTATCATCATGATTATCATCTCGACTAGTTAAACAATGCTCAATTTCAGACCTTTATTAACCTTGTTCTTGTAAACTTTATCTTCTTTCCAAATCATTAAGTAGTCAATATACTTTTCCTATTTACTACAATACTTATCCTCCTTTGAGAGGCCGGCTATTATAGAAGGACGTCATGAAAGTTCTATGAATATCTCTTAAATCATAATCAATAAGCAGGTGATTCTTCTCTGTCTGTATCAATTTCAATACTCAAGCACCCACATCTAACGTCACACACACATACATACACTTTGTATTATTCATATACTTTATATCGAGACATAAATCCTCACTTTCAATACTTTTATATCCCATACAGAAGAAGGAATTTATTACGTTTCGATAAATAAGTATGGTATAAACCCTCTTTGTTGGAAGGGTCATAAATCACCCAAATGAACCCGAGCCTCCATTGACAAAAGTAGCATCATAAATAAATAAATAAATACATTCTTACACGGCACCCGCCACTCGTACAGAACTCTTTCAAGTGATGTTCCCTTTGTGCAAATAATGGTAAATAGGCATTTATACAAACATATTTCGCATTTGTCAAAGGTGTCCCTTTATTGTGATTTGTGATATTCTTTCGGTTTCACGGAGCCTTCTTCCCTTGGTAACATGTAAAATAAAATAATAAATACTAGAGAAACAACAGGATGTATAAAGCTTTTGTTTTGGTTTCAAGCGAAGCGTCACTAGTGTTCACATTTACGACGCTCACGAATGTGGGCTATCGGGAGGTTATAAAGTGGAAATATCATACAATAGGTACGTACGCGGGAATTGCTATCGAGTTCACTTCAAAGGACAGAGCGAAAGGAACTAGTCGATTGGAAATAATCTTCATTTTCAGGAAGGAATCGTGACTAGTAGACGTGTCATGATCTTATCTAGTAAAGTTGGCATTGAAGTGGTTGTTATTGTGATATCAACTGTGTGGTAAAAGGCCCACCCTCTTATCCTCATGTTTATCGTAGAAAACATGTTAATATTTGAACGTATTCACACGTAATTACATAGGTAAGGAACACCGAATGTGATATAATTGGCTTTCCACTAATTGATTTTTGAAGTATGGTATTTTATTATAAGCTGCATATGATATATTATGTAGAAATTAATATAGTATATACGTGATTGTTATTTATAACAATCAGCATTATACCTATATAATGATATATATATATAAAAAATATAAATAAAGACAACCCTATAAGGAGAATAAGTGAGGAAACAATAAAATTGATTTTGAATGTAAACAGTTAAACACACATATCCTATTGGATACTTTAAGTGTTGGAAAAGTGTATTCCGAGCTCGTCGAGAGTTCACCGTCGTCGTTTCGCCGCCAAGTAAAATGTTTGCAAGTCAGACTCTAGCAATACACACAAAACGCATCGCGAATGCATTTTTATAGATGAAACGTGTAAACATTCTACTCTGCAGCAGTTTAAAAAGTCAACAAATATCCCTGAACACTTTACGCTTCATCCAATTCTCTCGAAATGGTCCTCGAACGCTTTAATAAACTTAACTCAGTGCTGTTAATCTTCTAAACTGCGTTTTGCGTTCACACTGAAACCAAAGATGAACATAGAGATTGAAAAAGCGGAGGGAAATCTATTGAAACGGTAAATCAATTTCAGTCCATTGATTCAAATGGCACATTTTATAAATTTGCAGTTAGTAAACATTTTCTTATAGATAGAAGGCTTTATTGCGCTATTCCAATATTGACGGATGTAGACTTGCCCATCAGAAATTCTCTTCGGAAATGATGTGCGGAATCGGCAAGTAAAAGGCATTAAATCTGTCTGGAGCTTTCGATTTGCATTGGGAAAATTGCATTTTCGAATCGACGGCGACAAGGAGGCGGCGCCTGAATGTTTGCAAATGTGTTGCAAAAGCTTTGCTTAGAGTTTTGCTCCCAGCGTTGCCCCTAGCAATAGGACGTCGTGCCAAGCAAATGACGTAAACCGGAGACACTTGTGGACTTTGTGGCAAATCACATTGTGTTTGGACTGATTATTTTATGGAATCGTTCTAGTGCCAATATTTATGCTCCTAACTCGAATAAACGAGAGAAAAACGTCTGTTTGCAAACTATAAGTATTATTCGCACGTTTGTACGTCTATCGCATCTAGTTATTTTTCTGTTTTTGGTTTTTTCAACAACTCGTAAACAAGCTCGTAACTGATTGATAAACAAAAAGGTTTAAATCAAGTTTGATGTAAAGACCTGTAAGTGGCAGCTGCTGTGCACTATGAAATATAAAAAAGAATTTATTTAAAATTTGACAGTGAAAAAATACCAACTTATTTCACCAGTTTTGGGCATAATTTAAATTTCAGTAAAATATAATAAAATTAGATAAAGCCAAATTCACAAGAAGAAAACAGAATATATGAAATAGAAAATATAAAAAACATGGAGTGTTGTTACCAGCCTAATTGTGAAGAGTATGCTGTAACTCCGATGTTGGTAGCTCCAGCTCCACCCTGCGCCCCGAAATATTGTGATGAGGAGCCAGCATGCATGCCATGTCTGCCGCGATGCCAGAAGCCAGTTTACTACTGCTGTACGAAGGAGCCGCCGCCGAAGAGAGACTACTACTGCTGTACGAAGGTGGCTCCGAAGAGAGATTGTTGTCCACTCCCTCCGCAGACAGTTTGTTGTCCAGTCTCTCCGCAGACAGTCTGCTGCCGTCCACGATCCACACCACCGCGCCATGATTCATGTGGACATGGTGGACATGGTGGACATGGTGGACATCCACCACCACAACCACAACAACAAGCTTGTAATTCTTGCTGTGCCCAACCACCACCAAACAAACCAGTTAAAACCAAGTATATTATTCCTTGCTACAGATACGAAGACGGAAGAATTGTAAGTTTTGTTACTTTACATTAAGTAGGTCCGTTTGTTAACTTATATTGTTAGTAGTACTTTTATTTCATTTTATTTAATACTTTATTTAATTTAATTTAAAGTATCTATTATCCTATTGGTAGAATGTACAATCAATTAGTACTCATAGTCAAACTTCACAAAAGAAAATTTATATACCTAAATTAGGTAAATGGACGATGATATAGAAAATGGTGGCCAATAATACTGTCGTACTTCCTAAGATCAAAGTGCAGGCATAAAGAATACAGTAATGATGTATTCTGAATATATCTGCTTGAATAATTCAGTGGACTTATCGTGGCGAGCGTGTCTTTGTTTATGTTTTCGTGGTTCCATTGTTTTGTTGTTAGTTTCAGGAACGGTATGTTCCGACACGTTATGGTAGACTCCCCATGTCAGCATACCGTCGAAACGGAATCCAGGACCAAATTCATGGGTACCGCGGCGCAATCCGCTACTTATGTACAGCTGAAGGACCTCACGGGAAGTGTTGCGTCCACACCACCGTGGAGCCGATGACTAGAGTGTTTCCGAAAGTCACTCAAGAAGTATTTCCTGTTAAAAAGAGAAAGGATAAAAAGTGAAAATTACTTAACGTATAAGTAAAAATTGCTTAATGAATACCATCCTATATGGTCGTCCATTAAAATTTGTAGTATATTGAGTATAAAAAATTAACTTTTCCAAAAGAAAAAACAAATAAGAAAAGAACGCCCCTGGCAGGTAAATCCTCTACCTTCATCTGCACTAAAACGGAACGGAATTCAAGATCATAAATACAATGAATGCGGCAGTATTTCATACATTCGCAAGTGTTGGCATAAGGCGATTTGCAGTGACTACCCTATTATGATCCCCGTTAAACTACCGAAGAAATGTGCTGCAATTAAGTAATTAAGACCTCATTTCGGGTGCGTAAAGTAATGCATAGCGTCGGCACGTATGTGTTGCTGTTTCCGTTATAAATATTTAGATAAATGTATGATTAAAGTAGATTCATTTAATGCTTTGTTAGTATAATCAGTTTTAATCATATTTCTGTATACTTTTGCAAACATACAGGGAAATTCGCAATGCCTGAATAGGGCGCAACTAACTTGCGTCTGTCTGGTCCGTTGCAGGTGAGAAGGCTACCCGTATCTGCATTCAAGCGCAATGGAATGCAAGACCAGGAGCACTCGAGGACGCTTGGCACTGCGAATTTCCTTGTAAGGTGTCCTCGAGACGTGTCCATCGTTTGTGACGTGCGTACGAACCCCGTCATGGTGGCCGACCCCGCCAAAGTACCATCTTGTTCAAAAAGCCCGCTCGGCTGTGTTTATCTTAAGAAGTCTCCTATTGAAGTTTCTCTTGAAGATATAATAGACGAATAAAATATTATTTTATCGTGGTGTCTGAAGCTTACCCAGCACTATAAAAACAAAGAAATGCAGAACTGAGTACTATGACAAATTGTAGACGTTACATAAGAACAGAATAATAAATGGGACTATCTCACGTAAGCGGCTTTTCTCGTATTCTTGGTGCGGTCATATTGTTGGAGAATTATTTTATGATTTTTATGTATAACCAATTAATATATTTATTATATTACAATTATTTTTTGCATTGTTTCAGACAAATCAACCTACGGTACTGATGCGACGTGCGTGTGAGGTAGCGTGCGGGGCGCGCCCAAGACGGAAACCGTTTGTGTGTTCTTCCTATTCCGCGGACCCATACAACGAAATACGGCGGTTCCACTCTGAAGATGAACGGGTATATTGATATTCAAAGAACTAATACTTAGGTATCACTTAAATATTTGCAAATAAGGTATCCGATCTTAAGCTATCAGTCATGCATAAATGCTTAAGTTATTCTATGGGAGAGCATTAAATCTTGAGTTTATGAAAACTTTCCCAACAAATAACTTCCGTTGATTCCAATTGAACTTGGCGATATTTTATGAAAAATTAATATTCAGTAGGAGGATGGAAAACCGCCACCTGAATTGATTCCCACGCAATATCCTTTTAGAAGCTGAAGCCAAAGCAAAAAGCCGAATAAACGCCGTCGGTGACGCCGAGGAGAAATTCAATTTCATTACAAACCCAGTCAGTGCTAGAAAAATGAATCCGACGGAGACCACGACCGGAAAATGAGTTTAGAATACTTTTAATACAACATCGGAAAAGAGTCTAATGAATTAATTTGTTGCAAGTGTGATAATTACGCTGCACTAACCTAAATGGATTTTGTGTTGCGTTTTCGAGAGCATTTCGATAGACAATCGTTTTTAAAACTGAAGACATTTGTCCATCACTCATCACCAATTTTTATTCTATCGTTCTTATATTCGATTGAAATCCCCATATTATTACCACCTATTTACATAAATAACCTGGTCTTGAACTGAGGTCGCAGATCATAAATATTTTTTAACTACGAACCTCTATTTAGAAAATGCTTATGTATTTATGTATGTACATCAAATAATTATTAAGACCTCATGTACCTCAACTACCTACATGCATTAAACTCGGTTATAACGGACCTGGCGACGTCAAAACGTCTATCGTTTGGTTTAGAGTACATAATAAAGTATAGACAGTAATAGACATCGTTACGGCGACGTTTCGAATCTACCTACCGAAACAACAAACAAAGTTCCAGTAAATTCTTAGTTCCCAATTTAGTCAGTTGTCTCTCTTAACCAAATTACTGAATTTGTCAACTTCAAAATGAGTGTAAGAATCAGATTATCCTTAGAATTGGAATTTTAATCAAATTGCTTCACTATTTACGAGCAATTTACGTGAGATTAGACGTTATTTGGAGCTACGACTGTTTGGTGTGTTTTTGACATCGATCGTGCCTTCTCGTGGACCACAATGTTTATTCGGTGAACGCGACATGGGTTCAGATGGGGATTTATTTTCGACTGGGGCTCAAGATACGACTCTTCGTGATTGGACCTGTAATCCGAAGGCTCGCAGAATTAGGCCGGCGGCTCGCTACGCGAAACAACCGCTGACTCGGTCCTGTCTAGTTAAACATTTTATTGTTTGACATACTTGACAGTTTAATTAAAGTTTAATCTCTTAACGTGATGGTTGACTAATCCGCAGCGGTCCGTAGCGATCCGCAAATTTGAGTACGCTCTCACAATTGAATATTCAACGAATTGTACACACAATCACCTGGGCCATTTGGCATCCTTTAACACGAAAGAAAGTTAACAGATCCCTAACTGAATTTAAACTTTTAGCAGTCCTCGTCTAAGCCCAGTAATTAACAGAAAGCGTAGTTATTATCCGAAACACGGAAACTTTCTGGATAGGAATTTGGACTTACGATTCGTGCTTTTTTACCTGCAAAGTTAATTAATTTACGGGATTCCAGTTCACAAACTTATCTGCTTATGCAAATAAGAAGATTGCCGTCCTTCGTAGGGATTTTTAAATTAAATTTGAATTTTATTTGTTAATTCGGGATAAATTCTTGATCTTGGCGTTCCTCTTTGTTTTGTAATTTTAAGTTTTTTTTTATTTTTTTAAACAGGGGAACTGTTGCTACCATTTCGAGAGGAAGAAACCTCCGAAGGATTCTCCTGGTTCTGGTTGTACGGCGTTTGGGCCTTGCCAGGCATGTTACACAGACTGTGTGTTTGCTCGAGCTGTCGACTCGCCTGACTGCTGTTACTATTGCACCTGAAGTTGAATAAAAAATATTTATTTGTTACTGTTCTTTGTAAATCATTGGTGTTCGGTTGTTACATTATGCCCAAACAATTTGGCGGCTATATTTGTTAGTAAAGTTTTTATGTAAAATTATTGTTTTATTTCATGAAAACATTACTGAGAAGTTCTATATTAAAACTGCAAACCAGTCACCAATTATTTTTCACTAATCATCATTTAGTTTTATGCAAGTTCAACATATTAAACATAAACATAACATCGATACGCTTGTTATTATTTTCTAAGTTTATTATTATGCTAGACCCGTTAATGAGCCAATGTGTCTGAAAAAGTGTTTTGGGACAGAAAAGGATTGAAAACAAAAATACTCAGTGAATTAAGGAGATTGGGTCAATCTTACATATACTAATATAAATGGAGATAGTTTGTATGTTTGTTACTCCCTTACGTCAAAATTGCTGGAGGGATTAGGTTGAAATTTGAAACAGGGGTAGATTATGGTCTAGAACTCTAGAACAACATATAACTTATTTTTATCCCACGGCAACGCGGGGGAAATCGCTGGCAGAAGCTATTATAGCATATCTGGTGAAAAGCAGTCAACATCTAGGTAAACGTTTAGCAACATCAAATTGCAGAACTACTATCGTACTTAATCAACCACGGGAACGCGGGTTAGCCGCTGGTTTCATTCATTCATTTGATACGTGTATAAATAGTGCATAAGAAACATTACAGGGTTTGATTTCCCTTCGGAAGGAAAAGGGAACTAACTAAGTAAAGTCTTATATTATTTTGAAGATACCAAAATCTAGAAAATTGCTACAGCATCTACGCGTACGATACATCACGTATCTACCAAGGACGTCGAAATACGGCGGATGTAATGTCACTTAGAAATGATTGAAGCACCAGAATGTCAGTGGTGTATTTAAGTGTGCGTGTACTTGCAACACCGGAATATATGTGATATGAAGTGACGACGACGACGAAGACGGCCATGTCACGTGACCGATGTCTATAGTGTCAATGTGTGTATTCGGCGTGTAAGTAGTCAGGGGCCACAATTATAGTTTCAAGAGACTACGTCCTTGGAACCTACACACTACGCAACGAAAGAAAGAAAAAAAAAGAAAAAGCATTTATTCGACAGTAGGCACGCACACAGATACAAAAATAATACGAAATTAAAAAAGAAAAGAAGAAATTAATACACTTATTTATATAGATAAAGAAAAAAAACAAAGAAACGACAGAGTATAACAACTTAGTGACAATACAATAATAACACAGTAATTAAAAATTAATAAAAACGCATCATAAGCTCTTCATTGCTATATAGACTAGACGTTGAAAAATAGCGGACACAACTACATTGACACGCAGGACATCTGTCGCGTGACAGGACTCGTCATTACACTTCACACACATTACGGTGTTGCAAGTACACGGTACACGCACATATAAATAAATCATTAACATTTTGATGCTTTGATCATTAAATTTCTAAGTGACATGACGTCCGCCTTTTTTCAACGTCTTTGGTCCCTATAGCTATGCCATAGGGACCAAAGACGTTGACGTTGTTGTTTCAAGATTTCAAAATAAAAGTATCCTATGTTACTCCTTAGTACATCAGCTACTTGCCAATGAAAGTCTTGCAAAATTGGTTCAGCCATTTCAGAAATTAACCAGTACAAACAGTCAGACAGATAGACAAAAATTGTAATAAATGTTATTTTGATATGTTATCGTAATATGTATATTCCTATGTATGTATAGAAGGTGGTCATTTTAATATTACAAACAGACACAATTTTATGTATCGGTATAGATTTACTATTACCTGCCAGATGAAAAGTAGCAAGCGGTTTTAAAGAGTATATATAGTAAGGCCAATAAAGAGTTCTGTCCATTTTTGTTACGTGTTGGTTGTCCTGTCATGATGGGACAACAAAAATGACAAATAGGACTCCGTATCGTATAACATTAGTGCCATCTAGTGAGCAAAAAAAAAACAGTAATACTCAACCAAAGAGTAGTATAAGTAACTATATATACTCTCTGGTTCTCATTGTGAAGAACATACATATTTTGCCGCCTACAATTAACATCGAGGAAACAAACAAAAATGTTATGTACAAAAAGTTATTACACATGCTAATACCAAAATTAATGTCCAAGTATGTACCTACAACACGATGAAAGCGTTACGAACTTTGACACCCCAAACTTCTTCAAGCTTCCGAAAGCTTCAAGTGCCGAAGTAATTATATTTTATTACACACATGAACGTAAACCTCTGAGTTACAACCGACAAAACAATCCACTTACGTACTTATTCATTCTTTAGTCTTATTACTTCCAATAACTTTTTAGGCGTGCTCTGTTTCCCGTAACAAATGAACGAAATCTGTACGAGACATAAAGACGAACGATCAATTTGGCGTTATTACTTTGATTCTCAGCTATCAGTGCGTAATAAGGCGTAACAAAGATAATATTTTGTTGCAGACAACACGTCGGCCACAATCCGCCCGGCAATCAATCGGAAAAGAGAAGATCCCGGAGATTTGTACTGAAACCTGAATAGAGTAGTGAGAACAAGAATTTAATACCAGTGTGTGAGCAAAATGCGTATAGTGTGTTGTGTGGACAGTGCGTTAGTGTTTGTGTGTTGTGCCTGTGTCTGAGGGGGGCCAATGCGAAGGCGGCGCGGGAAGGGGGCGGGGCGAGGTGTGCGGTGACTGCCCGCTGCACCATGCGACCGCCGCTGCCGCTGCTGCTGCTCGCCGCGTGCGCCGCTTGCACCGCGCAAATTGCGTGGACGCCGATATTCCTCGACGGCAGCAGTAAGTTTTATATTGAACATCTTATGTATAATATGTAACCTCTTTTTGCAGAACTCAATATACAGCACTGAATGCTTAATGAAGATCAACAATAATGTAAAACCACTTTATATGTAGAGGAGTTACTATGTAATTATTTGTACTTATTACTTTCGATTACGCCCTACCAGGGCAAGATAGGAATATCAAATTTTTCTGTTCATAGGTCAAGTGGATTTGTGGACGCAATCATCGTCGGGGTGCGCATGCCCCGGTGGTGATGGCGACGACTGTGCGTGCTGCGTGCGCGACGGCGCGTGTCCCTGCGGCGATGTCGCGCCGACGCGTTGTGCGCAGTGCGGGCTGGAACAGTACTGCGCGAACAGTAAGTAAAAGACTGATGGCTTTTTAAATCTTCAATTGTTAGTATACACCTAATAGGCTAATAACATAACATAACATCACGCCTTTTATCCCTGAAGAGGTAAGTTTTTTGCCACTGTAAAATGTAATACTCACTTTTCACTATTTATGTTATGAGTCCCATGTAATAGTGGGTGAGCCTATTGTCATATACCGGGCACAATTGCAGACTCTGTGCTACTACTGGGATTTTTTTTTAAACCCAGTAAATCTTTGTGCGACCCGAGAATTGCTCGGGTCCAATACCTCTTGCCCGGCAGTCGCACTTGGAACCACACTCGTCCAACGAGGCAGTCGAGGTAATAGGCTAATAACTATGTAATATTTGTATGTTTCTTAAAAAGTTCTCCAGAAGCGAAACGGCTGTTAAAATTCAGCTAATTGACCGTTGTATATGAAAGTCTTAATGGGTTCCACGTTGTTTCCACTTACCTTTTATTTTTGTTCAAGTTTCATTTCTTATTCCGTACAAAATTACCGTTCTCTACAGAGATGTATCTTTGTTACAAGAAATTCAATTATTATCTATGCGGCTGGCAGAAAGCCAAGTTATCATTGATATATTTCCTTTTCCTGTACAAAATTAATATTTTTAATTTTATGGTACGATACACAGGGTCGTAATAACAAATGTCGGTCGCTGTATCGAAGATTTGGGGTCGCTATGTACTATAATAGTAAACTTCTTTATGTCAGGTTTATAGGTTTCCTCTATAAATTGATCGGTTGGTATTCGTTTTAAAAATATTTTTAGATGTGAACAAGAGTACCTAATTTTTAAGAGTACTTTTTAATGTGTGACTGCCTCATTGACCGAGTGGGTTCAATTTCGGGGTAGGGCAAAGAACTACTGGGCTTTTAACATAAGGCAATAGGCTCACCCCCTATTACCCATGTAATAGGGGGTGAGCCTATTGAGTCCCATGACTCATAACATAAATAGTAAAAAGTGGGTGTTACATTGTCCAGTGGAATTAGTGTCGTAATGTGCACCTCTGCCTACCCCTTCAGGGATATAAGGCGTGATGTTATGTGTGTATGTGTCTTATTATCCAGTGTACAAAAATAAAGGTCACTAAACGTTCTGTAGATGCAGGTCGCTTCCAACCAGCCTATCGTGAAGTTATTGTATTGGGGGAGGCCTATGTTCAGCAGTGGTCGTCCTGTGGCTGATATGATGATGATGATGATGAAACGTTCTGTGGCCGTAGTACTACTAGCAAGGATATATAATAGTTATATATATAGTAGGAATAGTTCATCCTCATCTAAAAAGAGCTGCATTACGTCCTCTTTTCTCTGCAATATATAACAGTACACCCACGTTTGAGCTATTTTAGTCCCACGTAACAGGGTGTGAGCCTTTTGCCATACACCGGCGACAAATCCAGATTTCGTGCCATAACTAAACTGGTTCCTTGAATAAAAATGCTCTCTTTCATAAGTTTTTTGGTCTTTTCGTCTTTCAATTACCTGATAATGATGCTTCATATTGTTACACAACTAGCTTTTACCCGCGGCTTTGCCCGCGTATTCCTGTTTTATCCCATGGGAGAATTTGATTGGGATAAAAAGTATTCTACCACATAAGTCAGCCCATGCCCTGCCTGTAGCACCAAATTTCACCAAAATCCATTTAGTAGTTTCAGCGTGATTGATGGACAAACATCCAAACAAAGAAACTTTCACATTTAAAATATTAATGTCATAATGTGACTAGACAATGTCTAGTCTCTTCTGGTGTCGCGGAGAACCTAACGGGTAACCGGGGCTCCGGTTCGACGTGCAGGAGAAGGAACGGGGTGGTTTTTAGTCAGTAAGAGTCTGACACTCCCTCCCGCCTCACCCAGGCGGAAGCAGTCATTCGATGACTTTCGCCCCATAAAAAAAAAAGTTTCTTCTGGTCACATGCCGAATGGTAGTGCTAGATTTACTTTTATTATTGACATGGGACTCTATGATAACTTGGTATTAGTTTTTATTGTGTACACATGTATGGTACAATAGATCTCTTTATAAATTATTATTAGATACCAAATACCACGAAGCACATTACGTTTCAATATAGGTACCGTTTGGTTAAACGCTTCGTTCAATTTACAACAGCCTTTATATTGCAATAGACTGCAATTATATCCGTTTGTTTAGCAAAGTGCTCTATTGTTGAATCTGTCAATTTAATGACCGTTACTATTATACAGTGTGTTCTAGTTCCGTTTATCTAAATTAGTGGCCATGTTTCAATATACGTCGATAAACATAGTTTGATGTCCGAAGCAATTGATCAGATGAAGTCAGCTAACAGGCTTCTAGGCGGTGACACGTAGTTATTGGACCCTTGTCAATCATTTCTATATTGTCATCGCAATTGTGGGTCTGGTTAGTTGCAAGAAGATATGTTATTCTAAAAAATGTGTTATAGTATTATAGGATAGAGCGCATACGAGAAGTAGGATCACTCGATACTACGCAATCAGCACCTCAATCAGCTATAGGAGTTATAATTACAAGTGCACATCATCATCATCATCAACAACCTATAAATGCTCACTGTTGAGCAAAGCCACTTCTCACACGGAGAAGGATTGACCATTAATCACCACGCTTGCCCAATGCGAGTTGACGATTTACAAACTTATAATTAGAAATTAAGAGCCCAGCTTTCCTTACAATATTTGTAAGTGGTGTCTGAATATTCTTAGAAAGTATATATAACTCAGAAAAGTGACATTGGTACCTACCGTTGGTAGGTTTCGAACCCGCACCCTCAGGCACGAGAAGCGGGCGTCTTAACCTTCGAGCCACCATGACAGTGTATAGAGGTATATTACAAGTGCCCTTAGATAAAATTAATTACCTACACCATCCAAAATGAAGAGGTGTGTAATAATCTTAGAAAGTACACATAACTCGGAAAAAGTCACATTGGTACTTGCCGTTGGTAGGTTTCGAACCCGCACTCTCCTCATTCAAAATAATGTATTTGTAAAAGACAATTTCTCAAACCATATTTTCTTTCAGTGTGCAACATCACGATCGACTCGCGCATACTCAAAAGCAAGTCTGGCAAGACGTTTGGCCAGATCAAGTCACCTTCCATCGAGGGTCCTGGCGCCTGTTCCTACTTCTTGCAGCCAGACGCTGGCCAGAGAGTCGAAATACAGTTGTACCGACTTGTCTCCGTCGGAAAATTCAATGGCTCAAGGTAAGTTCTTGAAGACTATTATCAGATACAGCTAAATTATTGTTGCATTGACGTAGGTACATACCTTAGGCCCTTGACAATTTTCTTTAAAATTTCGCTTTAATCAATATAGAAACTTATCATAAAACTTATTGAATATGGAATATATTAATCATTTGCGAATACTAACAACGTCATTAGCCCAAATGAAATATTAATAGACTCCATTTGGTCGTGATATAAAATATTAGCTTTAATGCCTCTTGCGGTTGACTGGCATATTTAGCATAATTGAAATGCATATGAACCCCAGTATAATTATCTATGCAATCAGGAACTAAGTTCGATTTAACCATACCGATTTACTGATTTATCTTATCCGTGAATAAGCTTGTTATTAATTTTGCGTTTTGGACATTAATTGTGTTGTATTGAATTCTGCTTTAATTTGTTACGATAATGATACTCTATACAGTTTATTATTCAGTAAATATTGATATTAAAATGGTTATTAATTACATTTGTTTGGTTATTGTCATATTAATGGATTTTATGGTATTGTTTGGTTTTATGCGTTTTGATTGGCTGTCCGGTTCCCCGAGTATACATACAATATAGGCAAGTGTACAGCTAAATCGAAGGATTGAGGCATTTTGTGTATAATATGCTTATGTTGTTAAGTTATAGTGACCACGATCTTCCATAAATATTGAGTAGGTTGAAGTACAAATTTTATAAACACTGTTCTTCAATTCTCTATAAAATGATATAAACAACCTATTGATAATCCCATACAATATCCATAACGATGATTTGCAATAAGTAGCCATATAATTTTCTCATAAATTTTCATGAAACGTTGAAATGCAATGGGTTGGAAGTAATTTTAGTGGCACACGGACATATGGACAAGTCAAAATCCTTGTCACATGCAGAATCATAAAAGGCAATCCATAAAAATCATATCCGTCGATCGGAATCATAGTTTCGCTGAACATGTATGAGAGTTATATGAAGCGGGACGTGATTGGTGGAAAAGAATCGGGTACGACGGGTCTCGAGGTTTCCGCGCATTGCTATGATCAATGTCCCGTCAAATTGAATATTTGCAGGAGATCGTCTAGGATAGATATCGTCCACATTAATGTAATGCTCGATACATACTTGTGTACATACATACGTGTGTGTTATAGAGTGAGGCATATTTTGGAGTTGAATTGACAGTGATCCTTAACAGGTACGACGAAAAAACGAAGATTTTATAATGCAATCAATATAATTTTGGTGTCCGCAACTCACAAGTATATTAGACAGTAATAGCCAACAGCCGTTTTATAAATACTTTAGTCACACATGCTTCGTAGTGTAAGGCATAATCACTTTACTAATTGAGGTGTAAATGCGATTTGCCTCTTAACTCTTAACCCCAAATGAGCATGCAGCGTGACGTCATCACGTCTCATTTGTGTCTCAGTCACGCTCTACATGTCCGGTGATTGGATGTCGATCATATATGATCGTACAACTAAGATTGTTATCCCTAGCTATAGTCTGGACAAAGCTTCGAGCCGATGTAACATGGCAGTACTAAGGCTTCATTATCGGTCGGCGATAGCCAGAACCTCACAAATGCCCGGGGTTATACGTTAGCATAGACTATGAATACGGGAGTAGGTAGAGTAATATAGTTCAAGCTACATGAGAATAATGTTAAGTGTTGTATTTGTGAGATAGTATAATGCTTGGTACATTTTTATGGGAGTTAAGCATATACTTATATCGTTGTTGGCAGCGGGCAGCTTGCCCAGAGCGCGAGTGCCGCAGTTGTCGGATCCAAGACAAATATGTCTGGATTATGTTGTGCACATTCCGTATGTATCTGCTGACGGTAACTTATATTTACGTTCGTTTCGTTCAGCATTTAAGTACACAACGTTTTAGGTCATTTTTATCGTTAGCGTCTATAACATTTTATTGTTATTTTTATGTAGATGTTAAAACAAAACTAAAAGTATTGGAGAAGTCTGAGCAGCCTCCTAAAGATCTTTGAAGCTATATTTATTTTGTAAACGCAATATTTGTCACCTTATAATGTAAAACGCTAAAGTAACAACATATTTTTATTGTTACTTGCATTCGTTCCACTCAGGCTGTCGTGTCATTTATTCAACCAATTTTTTAAAATGTTGAAGTGCAAAGAAGGACGCACCTAACATAGATTTTGTTAATCAAATTAAATGTTATCTTTGTTTCTTTAATAAATTTCACAATAATCAAAACACCGCCGTCCACATATACATTCACAACTGTGCTAAATTTTACATGTTATTTGTCGCAGTTGCGTTGGCGGCTGGTTGCAGTTGGGCAGCGCAAGCGCAGTGCCAGCGGGCGGCGCGGCGGAGACACGACTGTGTGGTGCCAACGAACGATACACACCACCCGTCGTGCTGTTCGCCGACCACGGCGCTTCTACTTTAGAGTTTAGGTAAGTACTAGGATTTTCTAACACTGGCTTCTTAAAAATTTTAAGCTTTAAACTTCATTATTGCTTTAAACATTTTTATCTACGCTACGTAGCTAATAAGAATAGATGAGCTGAAAATCTCGCGACAAAATACATACAATCTAAAATCACAAATAAAAGGGTCATTACCTTCTCAAAATGCTTGCTCGGTTGGCACCGTAAGGTAAACTAAGTTTAAACGAGCTGCTCTGAAAATTCTATTTTTAACTTAATTTCTCCTAAATTTGTATACTTAGGTTCTCGATAAGCCTAAATGCAGAGAAAGCACTTATTTTGATCACAAGCAACCTTTACTTAGTCAACTTAATTTTGTTGCTACGTAGGTGTATTTTGCAGACCCCTGTACATAGCGGTATCAGAATAAACTCATTATTTGCGGTGAACCGCTGCGCTACGGATGTCAGAATGAACCCAACGCTATCCTTCCCTATCCACATAGTTTGCTGTTTAAAAGGTAAACGTGTAGATTCATCGATCATTAAACGAAACTCGTTAAGCAATCCGGTGTACTCGCGCGGTGGTAATGAATCCAACCAAAATGAACAATAATTAATTACATTTTCATCCGCTAATGGGAACGGCAGGCACTCAAATGAGCATTATTTCCGGATAGTGAAGCGATGCGGCCGCGTGGAGCATTTCAGAATTTATCTCCATTTGCAGTTCGGTTCGGAAACGCGAATTCCGGTAGTGAGCGGCAGTCGGAATCGGAACAAAAGGTCGTCACAGCGGAACCGGTAATGCTCGATTCGGAATTGTGGCCGGTTGTCAGGGAGTGCTGCAAATGCTCTTGTCAGCTGACGACGTTGAATTGCTTGATTTTATGAACCTGCGTACTAGCGCTACGCTCGCTCGCTTGGAGCTTAGAGTACTGCTGTGGTGCAGATTTTATGTCCTTTAATATATTGTGCACTGACTGCAGTACTTTTAATAGTAAGTAATATTTCAGTAATGTCCTACGTACGACGTATTTACGTAACGTATATTTATTACTAGAAGACGATAGGTTATATTGATATTTTGTTTAGTTATCATATCACAAATTACACTAATCTCGCCCACTAAAACAAGAATAAACACGGAAAATCCAACATTTTATTTATCGTTAGTAGGTACCTTTTTATTTGTGAACCCTTCTCACATATCAACAATTTATAAGCGCCTGTAATACAGCCCTTTGTTACCAGGATAACAGAAAAGACTGTGAGGTCACAGTTCCTCGCGTTCTTCAGTTTCACGTCGCTAAGTAATACCCAAGGCGTTGGGTTTCACCCGAGGGGCGGCTCGCGGATACCCCACACAGGTAAATATAACCTAGAAACATTAAAAATGTACTGTTTTCTTTGTAAACAGCAGTCAGCGAGAATTCGACGCGTGAAATTGTTTCAGGAATAATTCTTATTCGCAAACAGACCCATTATTTCAAATAGGTACCTAATTAATTTTAATTGGATTTCAATCTAGCAAATTCAGAAACTTTACACCTAATATTTACGTTGAAGGTTGTCGTTTCAAAGGACGTTTTTACTTAAAAAGCGTCTTTGTAGATTTTGTATTACAATTTATTTCTGGGAAACAAGTTTTATGAGAGTATACAGAAAATTGGTCTTCAAGAAAAAATAATAGCGGCTCACTAAATTCACCTTCACAATGTGGCCGTCAGTTTTTGTTTCAGTGTTAGGGTTCTTTTGTCTAACAGTTGAATTATTGCTAATTAGAGAGGTCAGATAAAGGACGCGGCATGATTACCTATTCTTTATCTAGCCTTATACCTTATCCCGTGTCTCAAGGCCCCTTGAAGGAGGATGGGAGCTTTCCTAACAAGCAGATGACCATTTCCTCTATATTGTGTAGGTATAATAGTGGTTTCCGGGTTTTCGTCCTTAGTCCATTGTGATACAAGGAATAATAATATCTTCAATGTTCAGTAGGACGTCTGCTACCAAGTAACTAAATATAAGTATGTACTTTTATAAAACTAAAACTGTTAAAGCAAATCTTTTCATTATAAAATTAATATCATTCGTCTGGTTATCCCATTTCGCTGTTCAAACACACTTAAAAAGGGATTCTAATGAAATAAAAACTTTTTAAGTGGTAAAATGGATGGTGTCTTGCAGTTTAATGTGTTTTTGGTAGTACTGGATTCAGTGGAACATGATGAAAGAGGTAAAATTTTTTACATATTCAATAATCTTTTCATAGATTTGTTTGAGTATTTGATTTATAAAAGAAGAGATTTTTAGAGTGGGTTACAATTGCAACAATAAAGTAAATTGTCCATATTGATATAGTTAGTAAGTATGGCCAAGGGTGTCCCAATGTTAGCGTTATGTCAAGAAGATGGCATCAACTATAGGATAACTGTCTTGTCAAGATATTTTCGGAAGTAGCGTGGCGTTGGAGACCCTCGTCAGAAGTTGCCTTATAATTATGTTCGCATACAACCCATAATATTGCGTCATATCTTTATATATCAGTTACTTGTTAGACGTCAAATGCACGCCCTATTGAGTACGTAGCTTTCCCCTGTTTGTTATAGATCTATTTACCGAATTCTTTTGATAGACAGGTAAACTACGGAGAGACTTTCCTCTTACTTTGAACGTTACAATAATATTACTGGAAAAATATTTGTATTAGTAAATGTTTTATGTATTTTAATGCAACCTTTGTAGCAACTTCTTTGGACCCTGTACTATATCCTCCTCTTGTTTCAACAATACAATGTAGATATTTTTATTTTCGGTTGATTTCATTTGAGAGATCAATCGCATTGACTTGCAGACTGGCTGCTGCGCAATGTCTCAGGTGTGCTTCTTTGACGGATCAACTAATTGTGTGATCTACGAATTTTAATTTCAGATTTCAGTGTTAGAAGTATGTACTTGATAGTTGAATTACTATAAAATTTTAAAACTACAGCGCATAGTATTTGAATATTATTTTTCTCACAGATTGCGACTGGTTATACCAAGACGTATCGTGTCGGGGTTCAGGGACCTGTGTTCTGGCCAGTCCAGGGTACCCTGGCCTCTACCCACCACACCGAAGATGTCGCTACCTCTTCGCCACAAACTCCGTTCACACACGCGTTAAGATTATTTTCACTTCTATTTTGCTACCAAGAAAGTAAGTATGAATTACTTATAAATTTAAATGTGTCAATGATATACAGAATAAGTGGAATAGTTTAAGGAACAAGGAACTAAGCTCAGCTTTAAACTATCGACTCTATTTACATAGGCAAACGGCCCACATTATTATGTAAACATGCAAATGAATATGAAAGCAAGAATCCCATACGAAGTTGGCTGAGGCGCAAATCTGTATGTAAGCATGTTTTACTCACACGGGATGGATGTAGATAAACTTTATTTATATAATAAAAGCCATTATGCCTATCCTCGGTCAACATACTTAGCTAAAGTGCTGGTTACGTGAACCAACCGCTAATACATTTCGAGGTCAAGTCACTAAAGTTCACGAAACTTGACAACGAACTTACCTTACCGCAATACCAATCATGCGGCCGGATTACCGCCGTGGGATCTGGAGGCGAAGGTGCTCGCGCGCGTGCACAGCATGCGCGCGGAGGCACGTCGCCGGGGCGAAACTCCGCTGCCGCGCCAGATAAGTGCGTGGCGGGATGAGCTCCGGCGCGATCTCATGGCGGAATGGCAGCAACGACTGTCGCAACCGAGGGCTGGGCTCGCTGCCATCGCAGCGGTAAGTCCCCTCTTTGAGGAGTGGCTTGAGAGACGCTACGGCGTCCTCACCTACCGCCTGACGCAGGTCCTCACCGGACATGGAAGTTTCGGGAGGTACCTGTGTCTGATGGGGCGGGAGGAAACGTCCGGGTGTCATCACTGCGAGGACCGCCCTGAGGACACGGTGGAACACACGGTGGGAGAATGCCCTTCGTGGGCTGAGCACCGCCGTGTCCTCAGGGAAGTGATCGGCGATGGCGACCTCTCGCGTCCGGGCCTAGTGCGGGCCATGATGCGGAGCGAGGGGGACTGGGATGCCGTCTCCTCCTTTTGTGAAGCAGTCATGCTAGCTAAGGAGGAGGCGGGACGCGTGAGGCAGCGAAGCGCTGCCTCCTCGCAACCCAGCCATCGCGAAGGACACACCGGGCGTCGGGGATCGCGGGACGATCTCCGGCCACCGTAAGCGCGGGCCTGCGGACGGCGAGCATGGGTGGCTCCCCGTCCGACCAGAAACAGACCCGAGCGTACGGCGCGTCGCGTTCCGCGCGCGCCTCAAAGAGCCATCAGACCACCACAGATGGGGCCCAATAGGGCCGATGCCGATTCGGAGTCGCGGAGAACCTAACGGGTAACCGGGGCTCCGGCTCGACGTGCAGGAGAAGGAACGGGGTGGTTTTTAGTCAGTAAGAGTCTGACACTCCCTCCCGCCTCACCCAGGCGGGGGCAGTCATTCGATGATTTTCCCCCCTTAAAAAAAAAAAAAAAAAAAAAAAAAAAAAATACCAATCATGCGACGTTTCCGTCTCACGATTGAACTGGAAACTTTTCCAGAAGTACTTATTTAAATTTATGAGGTATAACAAATGCGGATGGTTCACAAAGAAGGCGCCATATTGAGGTTCCCTTGAAAAGGGTTTCGAAGGGATACCGCGTTGCCTAAATTGAAAAGAGCTGTTGATAAGTCAGGGATACCCATGAGGGTAGATGGATCACATATTCTACCAAATAATATTACATATATTATATTATTCATAATGATAAATGTATGTTAACATGTTTGGAACTTTTCAAAGGATTTCACTCGTTATTTTAAAGAGAGGACCAGTCTATTATGTTATCTTCCAGATGGTATTCAATATTGTGAGGAATATTTGGATCTTTTTATCAAAGTTGTGAATAATGTTATTGACATTTTCATTAGAAAATTAATGGTGCGGGTGTGTCAATATTGAAATTCCTTATACTTACATTGCTTTAGAGAAAATGTAGCACAATATTAAACATGGAAGAGAAATATAAAGAAGTAATTTAAGGGGACAAAAATTTAGCACAATTAATGTGTTTTAAGTGAACATTAAGTTTAATGGGCATGTCAGTCAGAAGTCTTATTTACGTTATCTTATTCTGTTAGTAATTGAGTGACGAACGTAAACGACTTTTTTCCTTTTACTTGTTTATGCGCTGTTTATAAGGAATCAAGCGTTGTTTTCTTTTAAAATGTATTACGTAAATAAGGAAGTTTATATTTAGTTCAAGTACTTTGTTTCTGTTTTTATGTTCCTTGGTGTTTGCAACATATTATTTTTCTCCAAATAAATTTCTTTTACTATTTTCCCCATCAAACGTCATATACTCGATTTTCCGACATATGAATCCCTCATACAATAAATAATTATTTCCATTAAATATCTGTGTTACAATATTTACTATAACTTTTATTTTAGGTTATTCTTACGAAGTAAAATAAAATAATGAATATAGTAAAGAATATTATACCGTTTCTTTCTTAGTCAGTTAAGGGTACATTTTTTATTTATCATTAGGTTTATCTATTCCATATTAGACATTGACTGTTCACGGACTGTACAAGCCTAACTTAACCATCACAATACCCGGGTAACATACTCACGAGCTCCGTAAAAACATTATCATGCAGTATGCAGCTCGCTTAACCTTACATTGTAACTGCACCCACAAAATTATTACATTATTACATGAATCGTCAACTTGAAAGGTTTTTTTTATTGTGCTTACTTCACTCTAATACATGGCGACCCTGCCAGTATTATACAAATGATTAACATGTGATTTTAGTTCTATGGGAGGTGGTAGATTACAATTTTTACTAAAATAAATACTAACTCAAATGGAGAGTATTTTGTCTGAGAGTGAACTGTAGTGTTGAATTAATTGTGCTTACATCACTACAACACCATAAAAAAATATATGCAGATCTTTTCACAACAGTTATTAATACTTCACAACTAAGTACCTACGTACAAAACTTGAATATTTCACAATAAAATTACTTGTGTACTACGACTGTTCACTTAACACTTATGTCATCAGTATCATGAAGTGTCATCAAGTGATATTGAAAACGAGAACCCCATTGTAAATCAGTCAACAGTGCGACGAACAGTGACCTGGTTGGGACCATTTCCTATAATTATGCAGTTAATGCTTTCACAGTGGATAATAACAGGGAAACCGTATTATTTGGAATTAATGCTGGTATTGAGATATGTGTGAAATGAGTTGAGAGAGAGAAAGAGAGAGAGAGAGAGAGAGAGAGAGAGAGAGAGAGAGAGACAACATCAAATTTTGATTGCATTTTATCATGTGTATAATAGATGTTACATAAGGGTATAGTTTCAGCATGAAACCCAGTTAGGGCACGGTAAAATATAAAGCAAAATATAATCTTATTAATTCACTTATAATATTATCACATAAAAAGAAAGTTATTATATTATTAATTCATTCTAAGATAAAGATTATTTTGCTAAGTAAGATTTGAGGATATTATATTCTGGGAACAGAAAGAAATAGGCAGCAGATCTTCTAAATTACTATGTATTATAAGAATCAGAAAGATGTATAATCTTCTTACAATATCTCTCTTAAAATAGGTGAATAATAGTTTAGAATAGCTTAATGTGCTGAACTACGCTAGCTTATTAATGAAGCAAACTAGATACCCGATGTTAGCGTGCTAAAACAAACATTCGCTATGAAAACTTACTTATCTAATAGAGCTGCGACCTAAAAGTTGAAGAACTAACAGTAGTGACCTCGTTTACTGTCGGTACCCAGTAGCTATTGTAACTCAGTCCGTATTGAAGCTTCACATAATTAGGGCAGCGCTTCACCAAGATTATTCAAAAGGTAATATAGGACTTAGCAACCTTTGTCAGAGATATAGCCGAGTTGCGTCAAAGTCAAGTCAAAGCAATTATCTCAATTAGACCGTTATTGTAAGATCTTTTGAGTCGTCAAGAAGTTTAAATTTTATCTGTATTTTGTGAAAAAAGTTGGAAGTGTCTATAAAAAGAAGAGAGGTCGTTACTCTGTGATTAGTCCTGTATTTGAATGTAATTAGTGTTCTTTAGTGGCACTTTCTCGTCTCTAGTGTTAGTTAAAATTACGAACACAATGTCGTTGTGATTGGCCTCTAAATTATAAAATTACTTGAGTAATAGTAATGTTCAGCTTGAAAAACTGAGTATGATTTTTGCCTTTTATGTTTTAGAGAAAAGTCTTGACAGTTTTGAACATATATTGGTAAGAAGTGTAATAAAAACATTTCATCATTACGCCTTTCATCCCCGAAGGGGTAGGCAGAGGTGCACATTACATTACCTGATGCCACTGTACAATCTAACAACCACTTTTTACTATTTATGTTATGAGTCTTATGTAATGGGCGTGAGCCTATTGCCATGTACAGGGCACAATTACAGACAACGTACTACTACTGGGATTTTTTTTAAATCTCAGTAATACATTGTCCAACCCGGGAATTGAACCCGAGACCCCTTGCCCGGTTGCACTGGCGACCACTCGGCCAACGAAGCTGTGTCAGTAAAACTCTCTATATATCTCCATATCTAAAGCTGAAAACAATTTATATGTTTTACAGTTTATTTACTTTCAGTCTTCTCAGACTGCCTCGTTGGCCGAGTCGTAAGTGCGACGGCGGCAAGGGGTCTCGGGTTCGGTTCTCGGGTCGGGCAAATAACTACAGAGTTTTTTAAAAATTCTCATTGGTAGCACGTAGTCTGGAATTATGTCCGGTATATCGCAATAGGCTCACCCCCTATTACATGGGACTGATAACATAAATAGTAAAAAGTGGGTGTTACATTGTACAGTGGCATTAAGTGCCGTAATGTGCACCTCTGCCTAACCCTTCGGAGATAAAAGGCGTGATGTTACGTTACATATGTTACTTCTCAGAAAAATAACTCAATATTATGATATGACTTAAAACAGACATTAGCTACATCGTAGTCGCCTGGGGTTATTAGCCTATAAATTATTACTGTTGTAAAAACTGGAGCAAATTACACATTAAGTAGGCCGGTACCATTACCGGATCAATAGACATTTTTGCAAACAAACCATTCCTTACGTGAAGGT